AATTCCTATCGTCCGGAGGGTGGGGGGGGGGGGGGGTAATGACTTGCTGCCCGGCTTCTTGATTGGCCAGTTTTCTGACCAATCAGGAGGCTGGGCGGTGAGTCATTACATGCCACCAGGCTTCCTGATACCAGAAGTTCCGGTATCGGGATAGGCATCGGGAGCTTTTGGGCACTATGGACGAGGGAGCATGGAGCCGGCTTCCCAGCCAATCGGGAAGCCGAGCATTCCTATTTTGATGACAATTTAAAATGTTGGATTTTTCCTCCCTTTCAGTCCTGCCGACAATACTCATTAGGGACACAGACAGTAATAAAAAATGTGACATGGGCTCTAATCACTTACTACTCTATCCAAACCTAACAAACGTTTTAGCTTTAGGTACACTTTACATTTTGGAAATATGTCTAAGACTTAACCACCTGGAGTGCACAAAGAGTAAAAGGACTCTCTACTAAGAGAATATGGAGCCATTGTTAAATTTGCTAGCAGTCTGGCTGCTTTGCTGATCCCATGACTTAACTACTTTCTGCAGTGACCTGTAAATTTCACTCTGACTTACTAATCTGTTTGCCTGTTCCGGGTCACTGATACAGAAATCCAGAAACAGCTAGGGATATAGTATTTTTAGAAAAAGGTCATCAATAGCAGCCACGTATTTCTTTTAGCACAGCGTACCTTAAAGAAGAACGCCAGGCAAATAAAATCTTAACCCTTGCAGTTGGGCTACCCCGAACTGCAAGGGTTAGGGGCTTGTTTTGTTCTTCTTTAAACTGTCTTTAGGCCTAATAGGTTTTTGGATTACAACATTATTGCTATATCACCCATTATTTTCTGTGTACTCATGTTCTTTAAGCAGCCTTTCTCAAACTTTCTATTAAGGAGGGGCCTTTGAAAAAATGTCAGAACCCCTGCTAAAAGTTATGATATATCCTAGTAAAACTTCAGGCTATGAAAATTGTAGTGCCCGCTTACATTGGTGGTCAGTGGGGAAAGGCACCCTTACATTGGTGGTCAGTGGAAAAGCATCTCTTTATATTAGGGATCAGTGGGAGAGGCCTCACTGGTGACCTTTCTTTGGGAAGAAAGCTCTATTGGTAAACCAATGGGTGAGGTTCTCCTCCCCCTTTTACTTTGGTGGCCAATGGGAGAGGTTCTCACCCTCTTTACATTGGTGGTCAGTAAAAAGAACGCCTCTTACATTGGGGCCAATGCGAGAGGTTCTCCTCCCCCCTTTACATTGGTGGTCAGTGAAAAGAACGCCTCTTACTTTGGTGGCCAATGTGAGAGGTTCTCCTCTCCCCTTTATATTGCTGGCCAGTGAAAATAATTGTTAATTAAACATTGTTTCCATATTATGTATTATTTGTCTAGAAGAAAATTGAAGTAGGTAACAGAAAAATAATGCAGATAGATTTTCCGCTACATTACACTGTATCTACTGCAAATGTTATTAAGAGTGCACCCGCCATTTAGCTGCATACAATTAAACATCAACATCACATCCAGCAGCGCATAAAACCCTAATTGTTGTATATAGCTATTAGTGCACATACAAGATTACAAAATGTGCCATATCGCTGCAATAGATTCTATACATCAGCCACCATATGTGTCTTATACGATACATACCATGTAACCTTAGAGCTAAACGGTGGCTTTGAAAACTGACACACAATGGCTCACATTTATAAAACTTGCTGAGCCTAAATAACACTGACAGGGTTATTCACAAAGGGGTGAAGAGTTTGGAGCAGGCAGTAGAAGTGAAAAATCTAGGAGAACATAGCTGAACTGGAAAGTGACCTGAATTGGAGAATGTTTCCAAATCAGCTATGTTGGCCTAGATTGTTCACTTCTCATGCCTCCTCCAAACTCTTCACCCGTTAGTGAATAACCCTGTAAGTTTTGTCATTTTCTCTTCAAATATTCTGCAGTTTGGTAAAATAACACAACACGCTTTTAAGGAACACAGCAATACCAATAGTGGTTCAATCAATCAATCAATCAATCAATCACGGTTTAGCCTGTGTTTTGACCATTTGCAGTTCAGCTAATATTACCAAATATCCGCATTTGTTCAGGAAGTGACTAACATAAAGCCGTAATAGACAGTTGGTCATGTTCATGGAATATAATCCAAACTGTTCAGCGCTTTGGCAGAAATTCCTCACTCCCCAAGGGACCCAAGAGACCAAATTCCAGATGATTTCACCAGAGGGGCTGCTGTTCAATTGTAGGTTGGGATACCTCAGAGCACATGCAAAAAAGAAAACAAGAACAGTGCCCTCTCTTCGTGTGATACCGCTTTTTATTAAAAATTGATTTAAAAGAAAATTTTATACTCACAAGAGTCCATGTATATACACAGCTTGTAGGTTTTTGCATACAATGAAAGTCATATGCCACTGAGCCAACTGGACATCAGAGCATCTTTAAAGGCAATGGATTGGTAAGGGTTAACACATTTCAATGGTTAAACCATATTTGTCAGAACCAAAACTATATCTAACAGGTCTAAGGCAAAAACCGCTATTTAAATCAACCTGTATAGATTTTATACGTCCACACACTGATGTGTCCTCAGGAAGGGGCAGTTTTTTTTTACCATCAGTGTGTTGGTGTGTATAATCTATACAGGTAGATTTAAATAGCGTTTTTTGCCTTAGACCTGTTAGAAATGGTTTTGGTTACGAAGATGGTTTAACCATTGAAACGCGTTAACCCTTACCTATCCATTGCCTTTGATGATGCTCTGATGTCCAATCGATTTAGTAGCATATGACTTTCATTGTATACATGAATCTACAAGCTGTGTATATACATGGACTCTTGTGAGTATAAACTTTGCTTTTAGATCAATTGTTATTTAAAAACGTTACACACAAAGAGAGGGCGCTGTTCTTGTTTTCCTTTTTGCATGTTCCTGGAATTATGCATCATGTAGATTACTGTGTCCTTCTTGACCAGGTACTCTGTCTATAAAACTGTAAAGAGACCTATTTAATAAATGCAGGTAAACGTTCAGGAAAATCTAGTATCTTGAGTGCTTACTTGCAGCATTTTGTTTGGGGTTTTGTTCAGTAATTTTATTTGAATTCACTTGCAATGTACCTCTGAAGTTGTTAGCAAATCTGACTGCTTCAGAAGAGTCAGTTTCCTTGCACAGCCCCTACCTCTTTGCACGTCCTAGTTCCCTCCTATTCCGAAAAGGTTTAATTACTCTCTTTGCTGGTGAAACTCCTCAGCCCCTGGAGGAGCAAAAAGGAATAATATAGAGGGATGGCTCTAAGTCTGCTGGAGCTATCAACATCACATTCATGATGGCAGCATCCATCAGCGGTCTCAGGGATTTGGATATCCACTCAAGGGAGGCTTTTAGAGGTATATAACATGCATAAAACACACGAAAGCGGAACTCCATGGAATGGGATTAATAACTCTTGCGGTGGTGCTAACCCCGCACTGCAAGGGTTAAAGGAGAACTTTGAGGCGAGTGAAAATCACTCAGCCTCATAGTTCCAGGCGACCTGTGACAATGAAACTGTCACAGGTCGGCTCGAAAGATCGGGAAGTGAGCGAACACGAAAGTCGTTAGCTTACTTCTCGATCCTATACCTGCAAAGAGCCGTGGCTGTCATTCACGGCTCCCTGCAGGGATTCTCCCCTCCCGTGTCCGATTCCCCCCCTCCCCTGTCCGATTCTCCAGCGCTGACTGACGGAATGGACGGGGGAGGGGGCAGGTACAGCTGGCTCTGCCTCTAGATAGGCAGAGCCAGCTGTCACTCACCCAGCTGGGTAGATCCAAACAGTAATGTGGGGATCTGTCCCGGCTGCGGCGTCTCAGTATACTGCGAGTGACAGCTAGCTCCGCCCCAACTGTTTTCTATTGGCCGGGACCAGCTGTCATTACACTGAAATCAGAGCTGCCCGCCGGGTTCTCAGTGTGTAATGACAGATGGGCATCCTTGGTCATGCTGTCAGTAGCCAGGCTGTCGGCCGGCCCTTGGCCCTGGTTCTCAGTGTGTAATGACAGATGGGCATCCTTGGTCATGCTGTCAGTAGCCAGGCTGTCGGCCGGCTGTTTGGCCAGCTTCGAATTTCCCCTGGGCTCAGTTGAGACAAAGCATATGCCTTCGGCTAGACTGAGCCCCTTGGCCAACTTCGGTGGTTGTACAAGCTATAGTGAATAGCTCGTACAGCAGCTATAGTGAATATAGCTATAGCGAATAGCCCGTAAAGCAGCCCTGAACTGATGGGGCCCTGGGGCCGAAGCTAGCCGAAGCTAGCCGAAGGATCAGCGGAAGCTACGGCTAGATCCTTCGGGAGCTTTGTGAATAACCCCCATAATCTAATTGTAATGTTTTTGCTGAAATTAATAGTCTGGTGACAGGGTCTCTTGCATATATGCAGCATACAGCCACACCAGACTAAGCACTGCCCCATATTATTCATCAGGCTTGAATACATGGACATTTGTTTGTGTCACAACTGCTTTCTCCCATAAAATGTGCATAGAAATTCGAAAGCAGCTAGAAGCAGGACATAAGCAGCTCAGGAGGAACTCAGAAGCACCTCAAATAGAAGCTGAATGCACCTAAAGATATGCTGCATTTGCCTATCATCAGGGGCCCTGAGTCTGCTGCTGCATTATGCCCCCATTGGCTCAATCATGCTTGTTTCTGGCTTTGGTTTTTATTGCTATCAAGTCTTCCTGTCAAGAGAATCATGTTCCCCTCATTTCTTGCCCTGGAAACAGAAAATAAGGGGATATCTGCACAGTGGGGGTTCTAGCTTCTACCCATTCTATCCAAAGCTAAAAAAAAAATGGCTGGAGCTACGGTTCAGATATGCCCCATATTTTCACAGGAACATTTAATTGTTACTCGTTCTGGATAGAGCAAGGAAGGGTTGGAGCCTCTCTTAGGTTTGTATTGCTGCCTGCATTGTTATTGCAGACGTTTACTCCTGCTTCATGTCAGAACTGAAACCAATAGGAAATTTCTTCAGTGGTTCAGTGGGGCAGACAAACCCACCATCAAATTTTTTTTAGTAGCATAGAGAAGGATTAGAACTTCTGACAATGTTTTTAATGAGGCTTGCTGTCAGAGTGATGATCCAACCACCCATTTATTTTGCTGATGTCACAGGAACAGGATGTAAAGGACATTCTCCCCAATGGGGTCACATATAAAAATAAAACCTGACAGAAATTTGAACTCTTCCCCACTTTTTCCTAAAATTCAAACAAATTGCTGTTATACTTTAAAGATTTTTTTCTGTTCAATAGGATCTACTGCATATGCCATTTCCCCATACTATATCACATATGTATGTAAATATAAAATCTGTCTACAAGTACAATGTAAAAAGAAAAGACCTATAACATGTTGTGCCTTTTTTCAACCATAATGCAAATTACTTTGTGTTAAACAACTTCTTATTTTGATATAGCTGTGCAACAGTAACTCTTAATTCAATTGCATTTACATTTTATTTAGACACAATGTTTAATTGGCTGCCTATAAATGAAATTATTAACAATAATGTAAATACTCTTAATTTTTGTAGAAAAACGCTGAAATTGTTTCCAGCATTCTGTTCAAGATTTGCTCGCTTCCAGTGTTCAAAAATATCTGTGATGCAATAGACTTGTAAGTATCCAGGTTGACAGATCAAAAGCATGATAGCAGGTCTTAGGCAGTGCCTATTACTTCCAGTCCATTGCAAAGAACATTAGCTATTAACAGTCACTATGAGCTTGGGAGCAATTGTAATTGTTTAAAATGTGTGAAATATACGCTGCAGTTTCTGATGCTTGTGCAGACTTACCAACATTTCCCTGTAGATAAGTATAATACATTCTTTACATTTTCGTATTACTTAATTGTTTCTTCTCTGCATGTCTTAATAGTGTAGGGGTAATGGAAGCACAATCTGGGATAAGGTTATTATTTTTTAGACACAAAGGAACATGTATTTATTTTCTCAGTTTATACAGGTTTTATTCTTGTTTGCCTAATTTAGAAAAATAAAGGGGAATTTATTGGTCAGGAGTTTCAAAGTAATGTAATTTGTCTTTAAGAGCCCTTTCACACGGGCTTTGCAATCAGGTCTGCCTGCCGTTTTTTCAGGCGGACCTGATCAGAAGCCGAAAGTTAGTCTATGGTCAGCCGGATTAAATTAGACGGGCGTCTGTTTACAGTGTCCCTGCTGAAAAACCCCCAGAAAAACAAATGGTTCAGAGTTCCGTTACACCGGACCTGATTGTGCCGTATTGGGGGAGCAATCTGTTGTAAATGGACACAAGTCCATTAACATCCAATTCTCTATAGACCAACATGGGTCTGTAAATTAAATTTTTTTTCTCCACCGCAAGATGGAGGAAAAAACTGCACTGATATAGATTTCACAACAGTGACATCCATTCCAATTAGCAGGAGATCCGTGCATGGATCCCCTCCTGATCGGACTTTGTAAAAGGGGCCTTCTACCACTTGAAAGTGAATATTAAATGTAGGTGCTTTTGTAACTGTTTTAGAATATGGTTGCATTCAGTAACTTGTTCTGCACAGGGATGTCTAAGAGATGCTCATTGTTCTGTACGGCATGTTCAAGTTGACTAATGATCATTCTTGCATTGACTGTGTAGACCTAGAGGCAGCTGCTGCAATCTGCATAAGATTTCCAGAATCAAGTACGGCTATACTACTAACTGCTAAGCAGCTATGGCTGAGATGGAAGGAGATTGTTCCTTCGGGTCCTAGACAAGCTCAGCAACCAGCATGTGATAAAACCTCACCCCATTTCTTCAACAACAGAATTATCTTTCTTGGCTGGAATTGGAGTAGTAGATTATTGTATCATGTTAGCCATTGATTAATGTTTGACATTCACGTGATGCCCTTTTTTTTTTAGCTAACTTAAGTTATTTAAGATTCAAGCTTTCGGAATGAATCCCTTTTTCAAGCTTTGTAAAATTCTGAAAATGGCTCAGAAACCCACATATTTTTAACTTGAGTTAAAAACAGTAGCATTAAAATGTCACTGTATAAAAATGGCTGGAAGTGCTGATCTTAAATTCTTTACAACTAATTTAAATGAGATGAGACACCCATGTGATGGGATCCTTATTGTCATATTTTTCTGTGCACAATGCATAATATATTTCAACTTAATCTGAAATATAAATCATTGTATTCATGTAAAACAACAATATTGTGCTATGCAAGTATTGGCAAATCTCTTTCATCTGTGTTCTGAAGTGTGGGCTCCCCACCTCTGCTGGCCAGTTCACAAAAAAAGTGCATCGGTTCACCTAAGCAAACAACAAACATCTACTTCTGTGGATTTCTAATTCTAAAATCACATGGCTGAGCTTGTGTAAAACGTAGAAATGTTTCTTTTTTCCACTCCAGATCGTGTCTGTCACTGTTTTGTCTGATTCTCCTTCTTCTGCGGCGTCAGCTTTTATTACCTCAGCACATCTGATATCCAATTCTTTTCCCCAGCTTCATCTTCTACAGTTACAGTGCAGTATTTACTGCCAGGCCTACCTCTGAACTCTTGGCTATGTGGGGTGTGGTTACTGCCCTCTGCTCAGGGACACCTTTCTAGCTTTATATGAAGAGTTCCCACTCTAAACCTTATATAGCGAGCCTTAAAGCAGAACTCCAGGAATGATTTTTTTTTTTTGCAAACTTATATTGGTCCAGCTTGGCCTGATGGAAAGCCACTGGGGATGCTGAAAATCACTGAAGTGGTCAGAGCTACATACAGTGATAGCCATCATCTTCCAGGTGCTGTAGTGGCTTCTCCTCTGCACACTGAACACAGGGAGTTGATCGCTCAGCACCACCGCCATTTAGTGAACACCTTTTTGTAATGAACACAAACATTTTCTGATAGGATGAGGTGGAGATTATGATGTCATCTGTCCCTCCTATCCACCTTATCCAATCAGAAAATGCCTTGTATTCATTGAAACAAATTCAAGATGTTCTTTGAATGGAGGTGTTGCCAAGTAAGTAAACTCCCTGTGTTCACTGTGCAGAGGGGAAACCACTGAAGCAGCACCCGGAAGAACATAGCTATTACTGTATGTAGTGCAGACTACTACAGTGATTTGCAGTTTCCCCAGATGCCCTTCTTCTAGCAGATATGGATACAAAAAAGAACCTTTCTGGAGTTCCACTTTAAATGATGGATTTCGGAGCAGTATAAACTTGCACACTTCAGGAACATTTGTCCAGTGGTTCCCCACAAGCCTGGGGTTTGATTTGCGCAGCCATTTTGCAACAACAACCATATACCACAGAAAATGTATTTCAATGTTGTTTTCAATGATAGTCACAATTTTTTCATAAATTCCTAGGTCAGAGCCAGCAGAAGATTATGATCAAGATAGCTTCAGCATATTTCCAGTAAGTTGAAGAAACGTAAATTATACTTTCAATGTTATTGCCCATCTTTAAAGGGAACTTGTGTTTTGCTAGTGCAGGGCGAGGCAACAGGTTAACTTTAGAAATCATTGTAACATTATTATCTAAGCCAGGGGTGCCCACAAGGTCGATCGCGATCTACCAGTCGATCGCGTAGCGATCACTGGTAGATCGCCATGTCCTCTCCTCCCGCCGCTTCTCTGGACCCCCGCTGCTCTCCCCAGCGGGGTTCCGAGAAGAAGTGAAGGAACCGGCGGCGGGGGAGGGCGGAGCCGCTGTCACAGAACTAATGCAGAGCAGTGAGGAGAGAGAGAGACGCTCGGCCAGGATCTGACAGCCGGCGCCTCTCTCCCCTCACTGCTCGTCCTTAGTTCTACACCAAATCGGTAAAGCAAAACAAACTTTGTGTTTCTGTACCTTTAAGGAGGTGGGGCGTCCTCCTGGCCTGTCAGCACAGTGGGAGGTGGCCTAACAGACCAGGATTCTCCTGGCCTATCAATCAAAATACACTTTGTGGGTGGTTCAGACCGGCAGTCTGAGACTCCTGAGTCTGCTCACAATAGTGAGCGGGGATATGATTACCTCACAACTTGCTGCAAAGAACTACAGTTACCAAACCGGTAGCCAGGGGCATAGATGCCACAGCAGGCACCAGTGCAACAAAATGGATGTGAGGAGAACTGAGGGATGGAAATACTGACTGACCATAATATGGATTTCTCAGTAATACTTTATCTATGTAGCTATGCAAAGACAAATTATTTCAAGGTATGAAAGCAATGTTTTATCTAATTTTTTTTCTGTTTTTGCATTGTTTATCTCACATTTGTTAATTTGTTTTTAATGAATTGAACATCTTATTATTGCATGTGATAGTTCACTGAAAAAAGTCACATGACCATATTATCGCATGCAATGTTTAGTGGATTGAGCCCTGTATGAGGGGAGCATTTTGATCAATGAAACAGCAAAGAGTTCAAATCTCTTGCCACTACTTTATGACCAGCATGAACGCAGTGTAAGCTACAAACAAGAATGATGGTTCAGTATAAGAATCCGGGTATGCATCATTTTATTGGTTGCTAAAGTAGATTGCATGCATGGATCTTAGTAAATCACTATTCAGTGGCTCATTTGTGTAATGTTGGGCTTTTTGAGATGCACAAAAAAAACACCAGTCTTTAAAGCCAAACTCAAGGCAAACAGTTAAATACACCGAAAAATATATGAACGTTGTTTACCTGCCAAAGGATTTGTATTTCTGCCCATTCATTTGTGATATCTACATAGCACAGCCAGCTTGAAGACCTGGTTTTCTCTACTGCAGTTAAGTTATACAACTAGGTCTTGTCCCTGCCCCCAGCCTATAAATGGACAGTGAAGGAGAAGCAGCAGACTGATGAGCTCCTCTCTGTGTTACTCTGCTCTCTCCTCCTATCAGTTGTGCCTTAATAGCACATGGGCACTACAGTACATGTGATTGCCAACTTGTCCTGCTTCTCTTAAACTTTGCTGTACAGGGAATTCCAAGAGGTTGATACAAGTCAAATTCATGTACACTAGTTGCTTTAAAAATACAAAATAAACACATAACTTCACGAATTGGTGTTTTTTTTTATCTGCCTGCAGTTCAGCTTTATCAAATACTCTTTATCAGAAATAGAAAATAGATTGACTGTGATTTAATTGTAACTGATAAGATGCCGCACTCTTCTCTACAGTCTTTACGTGGATATCACTGGAGAGGAAGAGATTGCAATGACTTAGACAAGTCTATTTATCCTGGCAGAAGGTGAGCTTATCTTAATTGATGTAACTGGAAACTTCCTTCCTTTTGTGTTCAGCTTATCTGTAGCTAAAGATGCTATTTTTTTCTCTTTCTTTCTCCTGTTCTAAGAGAAATGTGCACTGCCTTTGCTAGTTGCCTTGCTTGTCTCTATTTAACACTTTCTAAATTACAGGCGTGGGTGTAGGCAGAACTCTTAATCTGAGGTATAAGCAAATATTCTCTAAATACAAAATGCATGTGTAATATTATTTGAATCTTGGTATTACTTGTGTATTTCTTCCAGATATGTAGAGTAATCCAGCAAGAATCTTTGCCTCTGTGCAGGAGCTTCCTGAAATCAAGACCAGTCACTGTTGCTCTATTTCCTTGTCCCGGGTGACAGGTCTTGCACCCACACCTTATAGTGACACTAATCTCAAGAGTTAAATCTTATAAATGCATTTAAGTGCCTTGCCTATTAACAAAGATGTATCTTATTTGTGCATCACTCAGCTGTAGATCATCAAAAAATCTCTGAATTTGTGGGGAACCTGTCCTTTTTTCTGGAGGGTGACTACTTTTGTTCCCCATGGTCCCTGTGTGTGTTGTAAAGTAGCCACCACTCCAAGCTCACTCCCGTGATGGACTACAATCTCACGTTTAGTTTACTAATTTGTATTGAGATTGTAGTCTGTCACAGGAGTGAGCTTGGAGCGGTGGCTACTTTACAACACACACAGGGACAATTTCTGCAGGCAGTCTGTTGTGGATTGACCCCTCACAAAGTTCTACTCCCTGAACAGGTTTTGTTTAGAACAGTGATGATGTCACTGCTATGTTTACAAGTTAATAACCAGGTTTGCAAAAGTATTTGGCCCACATAAAATGAATTTACCGTATGTCCACTGTGGCTATTCTAATATATTTCAAAGGGAGTCTTTATGCCCAAAGTTCAGCTTTAATATCAGCATGACAGCTAGCATTTTTAAAAGGAGATGTCAAGAATGGGGACCATATTTCTCTCTCATCAAAGGATTCCTTTAAACCTGTGAACTGTGATAGCACATAGTAAAGCATGTTTCTCCTCACACAATACCATAACACATATTAATGCACAGAACTGTGTGGCGTCATTTATTCTGAATGATACCCCAGTGATCCTAGTCAGAGCATCACGACACCCCAGTGTTCCTGGTCAGAACATCACAGCACATGTGCGCTTTTGGTGACCCATCTGTGTGTTGTGGTGCACACTACTGAAAAATAGTGCAGGTACAATTTTTTTGGGCATTGATACGTTCTGCCAGCTCAAAATGAATATGCTGCCAGAAAGCAGTGCAACCATAACTAAAATCATGTGATTATATAAAAAAAATCACAGAGCCATTCATCCTGTGAAACTACAGTTACATTCATTCTGTGTGAATAGGAGCAACAATGAATGTTATGAGAATATTTTTTTCCAGGTTAAATGTAATAAATTTTTGAGAGTGAATCAGGAAAATACTGCATTATGGCCATTAGATGTAGCCAAGGATCATAGGAAATATGTATTTATTTAGCTTTTCTATAAATGATACTATAATGAATTGTTATTGAGAATATAAAATAAACATTTGGTTTTGTATTTCTTTATGTACATATGACCAGAGTATTTTATGCCACATTTAAATTAAGGTATAGATGAAAACACTGGCAGTTTTATGGATTTAGCTGACAGGACAGCTAGATGGAGAAGATGGATGCCAGGATGCTAAATAAGGGCATTTAGCAGATAGCCTGTGTCCCATGAATCAATTTAAATCCAAAAGTGTATTGTTTGACAGGCACATACCCTTAATTATTGAATGCAGGTATAGCGTAAAAAAATAAATTAAAAAAAATAATGGCGTCTGAATTACTGCATAACTAAACAACCGATTCCTGCAAACAAAAGAAGAAAGCACATGAATGGTTCCCTAAATATGCAGACACAATATGCTAAGTATGTACCTGTATAACTTATGAGTTTTGTCCTCATTCTGTACAAGGTCCGGAATAACAATGCTTTTGGTAACAACAGAGCCTTACCCTCTGTGCTGCAATTGTGTTCTAAGGACAAAGCATCCACCAAACATGTTTTGTTCTTTGTTTAAGTATAGAAATAAACAGCGTGATTCAGAAAGATATAAGAATGAGAACAATGTTAGCTATTTATAAGCAGCTAACAGAACAATGTGAATGATGGTCTTTATAGCAGTACAGTAAACAAAAAAGATTGGATTTATATTTAACATTTGACTGCATGAAGAGAAAATTAGATAAATACATCCATTCAGCTAAGATTCAGAATCATTTCTGGCTTTCAGCATTGTAGGAAAACTAAATCAGGAAATTATCTCTATACTACAACTTATGGTTTAGTAGCTGTCATACAGAGAATGGTGAAAATTAAAACAACTGCCCGTCCATGTTTGGTCTACATACTGCCCGGATTCGCCTTATTCACAAAGCTAGTGTTTGGGTGGGGAATAAACTTTTCCTTATGCTACAGAGAGCAGGGGGGGGGGGGGGGGGGGTGGGGCCAATCGT